CTTATAATATCAGCCTTTGTTCCGGAACACATTTCCTCCTGAGAATTTTTTGTAATATCAGCAAGACTACAGACAGTATTTTGTTAAATAGTAAAATCATCTTAAAACAGTCCTCAGCTGACTATCTTGGAACAAATTTATGTAGATTTTAAAGAGTTGCACTTGAAAGCAAATGAGTTCCTGAAAACAAGCATGCAAATCAATTTATCTATTCAGTACTTTGTAAATGCACAAGAGTGTTTCCTCCTTAAAAAGAATACTTAAAATATGTTACTGTGTAAAACCTAGGTACTTGTGAAAAGTAAATATTGATTCCTTGGTTAATATGATTTTTTAGGTTTATATTCAGTAGAAAATATTCTTGTGTAAGTTATAAGTCTCTATTATAAAATTAAACATTTTCCCAGTAGTGATTTTGTAAGGTTAATTGTATGTTTTAATTTTTTTTTTCTGGTACTAGAGAAGAAACTCAGGGAATTCTACCACTGAAGTATATCTATCCCTAGTCCATTTATTCATGTATTTATTTATTTATTTTGGGGTACCAGGGATTGAACTTGGGCCCATGCACTTGCGAGGCAGGCCGTGGAAACACTGAGCCAAACCCCCAGCCCTTAATTTTTATTTTGAGACAAGGTCTTCCTAAATTGCCCACACTGGGATTGAACTTGTGATTCTCCTGCCCCAGCCTTATGAGTACCTGGGATTACAGGTGTGTACCACCACACCTGGTACAAGGTTATTTTAAAACTTCCATTATAGATTATTTTGCTACAGTGAAAAGATCATCTAAACTGACTATTCTATCATAGTCATGAACTATACATGTTATAAGTGTTAAAATTATTGTGGGTTGATATAACAATAGTTTACACATAATTTATTTATTTATTTTTTTTGAGACAGTCTCACTATTTAGTTCATGCTGACCTTGAACTCCCTATGTAACCTAGGGTAGCCTGGCACTCATGCTGATCCTCCTGCCTCAGCCTTCTGAGTGCTAGAATTACAGGCATGTACCATCATTCCCATAATTTGTAATTTGTAAAATTATATAATTTGTAAAATTAATTTGCAAATTTGAATCTGCAGATCTTTCACAGGTGGTAAAAATATTGTTGGTTGACATACCAATGACTTAAATATAACTTGTGAATATAAGTTAACTTATGGTACAGCATTTCACTCCTTTTTCAAAGGCGTGGGTTGAATTCTGCTTCCATAAAATTTTTTTTTTTAATTTTACTATTTTAGAAAAGTTTTTCCTCCACAAAATCTATCTATCTATCGAGATGGATAGATAGATAGATTTTAATTTTAAAGGAAAGTTAAAGTGACTTGTGACTTTCATTTTTAAAGGAGTTCCAGTTGTTGATGGTGTTTGTTTTGTTTCAAGGCCTTATTTGCTACCTTCTTGAAAAGTGCTTAAGTAGAAAGAAATTTAAAAATACTTTAGCCCATTTGATACAAGATTCCTAAAACAGAAAATAGAAAGAGGTGATCAATAATGTACTATAATACTCTGAAACACATGTTGGTAAAAGAATATTGCTCCAAAGGTGTCCCTTCAGCTGATAGTCACCTTAGTCACATTATTTGCATTCATAGCACTGTGTTAGATTTTAAATTTAAATTGGCAACCCTCGTTGTCACTGAAAATATCTTCAAAATGATTATGCAATGAGACCACTCAAGGTGGCCAGATAAGAAAATTGCCAGTGTAATTATAGTTAATAAGCTGAGGCCCTAAAGAGAAGAAATTTCCCTATGTCATCCTGCATTTATTGAAAGAATTTTAGTTTTCTCCGGGGATTAAATTCTTTCCAATAATTGATCCTACGAAGGCCCAAACTTGCATTAGGTTTTAGGAGGCCTAAATTCCAGTAAACCTAACATCTGTGTAAGAGGTGTAGAAAATGAGTAGATGAAACTTTCAAGAGCAAGGTCTGGGAGAAAGAAGTGTTCTGTCATCATTTAAAGCCAAAGGATATGCAGGGCAAACAACATAGGCAATCATGGGTTGTTACTCTGTTTTATTCCTGTGAAAGAGATGTACAAATGGGGTACTGATATACTGTTGAGAGGTAAATTATCCGTTTCAGTCAGGCTACTGGCACAAAAGCAGAATAGCATTGCACATGTTTAGTATAGTATAAATAAATCTCCAATTAAAAGTGTAGATCTAGTGCTTGCTTTGGCAGAACAGGTACTAAAAGTGTAGAGCTGTCACTGGGACTGCAAGAAGCAACAGGATGACTGTTTTTTACCTTTATTAAGTTTATTGGTACATTTTAGGTGATAAAATACAGTTACATTCATCATTGGGATTTTGTACCTTTACAAGACTTACCTTGGTTCTTGCTTTTCCCCATTGCCCTGCCCTCCCTTTAGCCCCTCCACCCTTCCCTGTTTACAAAGACATTGTTTCCATGTTTTTCCTTTTTACATATTTTTTCTTTTCCCTTTTTACTTTTCCCCCATCCCTCCCACTTCCTCTAATCTTTTAGACTTTTTCTTCCTATTACACAATATCAATGATACATTTTGATTCTTATTTACACTTTTAGTTTTCACACCAGAGAAGCTATTCTATATTTACACATGTGTGACTTACTAATTACACTTAAGAGTATGGCCTTACTGTACATTGACTTAGCTATAAATATCTCTAGTTTCTTGTTCTTTATGGCTGATTACTACTCCATTTTATTAAAAAACCACATCTTCTTTATCCAGTCTCCAGTTGATGGGCAATTGAGCTGTTTCCAAGCTTTAGCTATTACAAAATGTGCCACTATAAATAATGGGTAAGCATATATAACTGTGGTATGATTCTTTTAATTCTTTTGGGAAGATACCCAGTAGAAGGAAAGCTGGTTCAAATGGAACCTCTAGTCCTACTTGTTTGAGGTATCTCCATATTGATTTCCACAGTGGTTGCACGAGTCTGCACTCACACCAACAATGAAGAAGGGTTCCTATCTCCCCACTTTTTTTTGAGACAGAATTTTGCTATGTAGTTCTGACTGTCCTTAAACTCACTATGTAGCCTAGGCTTGCCTCTAACACTCAGTGATTCTCCTGCCTCAGCCTCCCAAGTGTGACATCATTTTTATTATTGAAATCCTAAAAGCCAACATAGGACTAATGGTTCATTTTACATAATGGGGGTGCAAGTGTTGTCATATGTCTTATTTCACAAATCAACTTAGAACAGGCTCTTCAAATTTTCATATATAATTCTTCTTAGTGTACTCAGCAGATCTATAAGAGAACTTTAGAAATTACCTTTTCATATGCTCAAACCTATAAGTTACAGTAGTTGCCTCTTTTTTGTGGTTTTGCTTCCCATTGTTTCAGTCACTTGTGGTCAACTGCAGTCCAGAAATATTCATGGAAACTTCCAGAAACAAACAATAAGTTTTAAATCACTCTTCTGCATATGAGATGAAATCTTACACCCTCTGTATTATCCCATTCTATCATTCCCAAGCTATGAACCATCCTTTTCCCCAGTATATCCATGCTGTATATGCTACCTACCTGCTAGTCGTGTAGTAGCCATCTCATCATCAGTTCTATTGTCTGGGTACTGCAGTGCTTGTGTTCAAGTAACCCTTCCACAGTAATCTAACCCTCCATCACAGTGCCTTTATCATTCACCTCACTTCATTTCATCACACAGGCATTGTATCATCTTACATTATCACAAGAAGGGCAAGCATAGTACAATAAGATATTGTGAGAAAAAGAGAGAACATTCCCATAACTTTTACTAAAGTATGTTATAATTGTTCTATTTCATTATTATTATTAATCTTACTGTACCTAATTTATAAATTAACTTTATCATTGGTATGCATGTATAGGAAAAAACATAGTATATATGGAATTTAGCAGTAACCATGGTTTTGAGCATCCACTGGGATCCTACAACATAATCCTGCTGATAAGGAGGAACCACCACAGTCCCTCAGTTCTAGGTCCTCTCATACCAGGACCCAGTGTGAGCACAGTTCCAGAAGTTTGCTTTTTATTTGGCCATTTCAGGTATTTTCCTGAGACTCTGCGCCTCCCCATCATCCTGAACTTTTATCCCTGGCTATCTTGTGTTGAGTTCCACATTCCTGCAGCTTCTCATTCACTCTGAAATTTTGGAAGAGCTCATGCTCTAGTAGCTTCCTGAGAAAGGGAACTATGAATGATAAAAAGTTTAGGACTTAGCATTTTCCAAGATTTAACTCTGTTGCTAAATACAATAAAATAATGGAATGAAACAGGTTAAAAGCCAATCTTGACTGAAGAGTTGGTTTTAAGATGTGAGGAATGGATTATATTATCAATTATAGCTTGCTTTGAAGTTACTTTTGCTTTCTTTTTTGTTTGTTTGTTTTTGTCTGTTGAGACAGGGTCTTGCTATGTATTCCAGGCTGGCCTTAACCTCACTATGTAGCCCAGGCTGACCTCAAACTCATGGCGATCCTCCCACCCCAGTCTCCTGAGTGTTGGGATTACAAGTGCGCACCACCATACCCGGCTTATTTTTGCTTTCTTACATAGAATCATTTCCTTAAAAGATCTCGTATACATTCACATAAAACTATGCATTTTATAAAACCATGTGCTGTAAATATTAGGGTATATGTCATAAATAGGATTAGGACAGACCACAGTGCTCAATTTTGTAATAGAAGCACCAAGCAAAACAAAATACATCTATTAAAGAAAGTACTGGCTCAACCTCCACCAGCAACCTACCCTGTGAGTAGCTCCTGAACAGGGCTTTATGTGTTCCCTTTTGAGATGTATGGGGGATTGCTTTTGAGAGACAAATTTCACCAAAATTAAAAATCTGATTGAGGGACTTCATTGTATTTTTTTTAAGCAAATAGAGTACCTATAGATTTGGAGACAGAGCCCCTTCTGATTTTGAATCAGAGAGAAATGAAGTGAAGAATGGAGTATTTTAGTCTTAAGAAGTTGGGTTCTGGCATTGAACCTGACCTAACTGCCGGAAGTCAGTATGTGCTTTGGAAATGCTTGCATACCTCAAAGAACAGCTTGGTTCTAGAAGTAAAAATTGGATTATAGAAATATGAAGATAGAATCCTGGGAGATTTCCTTTCCTAAGAACATAGCAATAGGCTTATTACTTTGAGCTGGTAACTAGGGATAGTGTTTTGAGGGTGGGGCAGCTCTTCCTTCATTTGCTTCTTCTTCCGTCTCCCAAACTTTTTGGACAATGTTTCATCCTTCTTCAGTTTCAACTGAATTTCTGAGACATTCTGCCATTCCAACAGCTAATAAGACCCCACAATATTGATCCAGTGAAGTGAAAACCATCATGGCTTCCCACTTGTGGAGTGTGTAGCACAGGACCTGCCCATGTTTTGAGGCTGTCAGGGAGGGAGGCAATGGAAATCCATCTGAAGAGCTCTGGTGGGTTTGGTTGAGAATGTGCTTCAGTGAAGATAACGTGAGGAATAGGTAACCTGCATCCAAAGAATCATTATTGCTAGAGAAAAATGCCACCTGTATTAGCTTCCTATTGCCCCAAATATAGCAGTTCAAGATGACATAAATCTATTATTCTATAGTTCTGGAATTCAGAAATCTGAAATTACATTTATGGGCTAAAATTAAAGTATTGGGCAGATCTGTGTTCCTTCTGGAGACTATCCGGGAGAATTAATTTCTTTGCTTTTTCCAGTTCTAGAAACTTTCTGCATTCCTTGGCTCATGGTCCCTTACTCATCTTCAAAGTGCAATACTTCAAACTCTGCTTTTGTGGCCGTACATACTTTTCTGACTGTTTTGCCTCTCTTTTGTAAGAAGCCTTGACATTACATTGAGCCAAACTTGATGATCCAGAATTACCCTATCTACTGATCTTTAAATTAGTCACATCTGCCACTTTCTCCTCCCCTTTAAGCTGCAGCAACTTTTCTTACTATATGGATCATTGTTCCTTCTGTGGCAAATTTTTACAGTTCCACTAATCCATTTAGGACAACTGTCTCAAAGTAACCTGCAGCTTTCCTGACAACTCTTTGCTCTCTCCCCTGCTAAGAACTGTAGCCCTATTCTATTGTTTTTTAAAAACCTTCTGCTACCATATCCACCACTTCCACCACCAGATCCATAACCACCACCACAGGGACTACCAGAACTTCTTCCACCAAAACTGTCCACCTTCATGGATCTGTAATTTGATTGCTGTTGACCACTGTAATTTCCAAAGTCATTATAGCTTCCACCACCACCATAATTACCACCACCAAAATTCCCTCCTTCATTGCAACCATCATATCCTCCTCCACTATCATATCCACCACTTTGGCTTCCATATCCTGGTCCACCAGCACCATAGCCTCCTCTACTACTGTAACCAGGACCACTGCCATAGTTTCCACCATCATCTTCAAATTCATTATATCCACCATTACCTCCTCCGTACTACCTCTGCTGCTACCTCCTCCACCACCATAGCCTCCTCTCCCACTTAAGTTTCCACCATGGCCAAAATTCCCTCCACCACCTCCAAAGTTTCCTCCATGACCCATAAAGTTGCCAGATCTACCTCCATGACCTCTTTGTGATCTAGCAGACTGTATATCTTGTTTAGAAAGGGCCTTTTTCACTTCACAATTATGCCCATTAATAGTGTGGTATTTCTGGACAATTTTATCAGCTGTGTCATGATCATCAAAAGTTATAAAAGCAAATTTGCTCTTTTTCCCACTCTGCCTGTCTTCCATAACTTCTATGGTTTCAATCTTGCCATTCTTTTCAAAGTAGCCTCTCAAATTATATTCTCCTGTTTCTTCTTTAATATCACCGACAAAGATTTTCTTCACTGTTAGATGTGCACCAGGCTTCATTGAATCCTCTCTAGAAACAGCTATTTTGGGTTCCACTACACACCCATCAACTTTGTGTGGTCCAGCACATATTGCTGCATCCACCTCTCCAACATAAGAGTAAGCCACAAAACCAAAGCCCCTGGAGCATTTTGTTTGGGAATCTCTCATTAGCGCACAATCTGTGAGTATTCCCCATTTCTCAAAATGTTCTCTTGAGCTATCACCTGTAGTTTAAAAGCTAAGATCACCAATAAACAGCTTCTTCAACTTCACTAGTTCCTTTGGATCATGGCCCTCCTCCCCCCAGCATGCAATTGCTGGAGTAGGGCTGGTGGCAAACTGGGTGGTGGTTTTACCTCCATTTGCGACTGGACTTGCCACTTCCAACTTGAGTTCAATACAGGACTGAGAGGAAGAGAGTAAATGTGTTCCTTTCATGCAGTATGTCATTGAACTTGCTTTTTGATTCCTCTTCCAGTCTGTTTCTTTTGATTGGTGAAAAGACCATTAACATTGATAATTAAAGCTGATATGTATTGTCTTATTTCTATCATGTTATCTTCCTGCTGTTGTCTTCTTTCTGTCCTTTTTGGTTTAATTTCTTCAATTGTCTGGTGGATTCATTCTGTTGTGGTTCATGGAGTTTTAATCCTCATTGTCTCTTTCTAGAATATCTTTCAGAACACTTTGGAGGGATGGTTTGATGGTCATGAATTTCTTTAGGTGTTCTTTTTTCATGGAAGCATCTTATTTCTCCATTAATTTTGAAAGGTAGTTTTGCAGGGTACATCAATCTGGGTTGAAGGTAATTTTCTGTAGGGCTTGAAATATCTCATTCCAAGCTCTCCTTGACTTGAGGGTTTGTGTTGAACAGTCTGCTGTGATTCTGATGGGCTTTCTGTTATAGGTGATTTGCTTTTCTTTTAACAGCTTTTAATATTCTCTTCTTGTGTTCAATTTCTGGAATCTTGACTATTGTATGCCCTGGGGAAGTTTTTTTATTTTTTGATTGTGGCTAATTGGAGTCCTATAAGCCTCACTTATCTCTATGTCAAATTCCTTTTTCCTGTTTGGGACATTTTCTGCCATTACTTCTGAGAACAGGTTTTTTTTTTATGTAATTTTTCACTATCTCCTGCTTTCATAGATTCAGATCAATCTTATCATATTCTTCTTTGCATCACCTAGCAGCTGTTGGATTGATTTCTCATGCTCCCTTGAAATTTGAAGAAATTTCACTTTTCATGATCACTAACCATAATCGTCTTCTATATCTGATATTTTGTCCTCACATTGGCTAATTCTACTGTGTGTACTTTAAATGGATGGGTTTTTTTTGTTTTTGTTTTTTGGTTTTTTGAGACAGAGTCTCACTATGTAGTTGAGACTGACCTGGAACTTACTATGTACCCCAGGCTGGTCTCGAACTCACAGCAATCCTCCTGCCTCAGCCTCCCAAGTGCTGGGATTACAGGAGTGTGCCACCACACCCAGCAAAATGGAGTTTTTAATCTCCTGGATATCTGTTAGAATTTGTTGCATGGATTCCATTTCTTTCCTACATTGGGCATTCATGTTTTCTGTTTCTTTCCTAATGCAGGGTGTTCATGATTTCCATCATCTTCCTGAGTTCCTCTATTTTTAAAAATCTGTATCTGTTCTAGAGTCTCTAAGCATGTCTTTCATTCTAGTCTCCATCTCTGTAGTTATCTGAGAGATTATTTCTGCTTTGATTTTTTTTTCTAGAGCCTTGTACATCTGCTTTGTTACTTCTGCTGTTTCAGAGAGTATAGGTGGGTGGCTTTCAGACTGTTCTACTTCGTTTTCCCCAAGATTTGCCTTTGCTGAACTAAAAGTGTGTGTGTGGGGGGGTACATCTTGTTTAAGCTTCTTCTCATTTTCTATTTTTAAAAATTTGATTCCTGGGTTGATGCTTGTAAATTGCTTATGGAAAGTAGCTTTATTGCCAATATTAAGACCCTTAGAAAAGGCCTACTTCTCAGAAGTATCTTCCAGGTGTAGCTGGCTTTTGGGTTTTGAGTCTGTTGCATGATCTGACCTCTTCAATTTATTGGGGATGAGAAGTTTTTGCCTACTTGGCCCAGCCGCCAGTTCTTTGGCACTGGTCTGAAGGAGTTTTTCATTGTTTGTTTAAGGCCCTTAGGCAATCTCAGTCTTGATATACCAGGAAAACAACTGATTAGCTCAGTTATGACACTTTGGCTAACAGTACAATCAGCAATAACAATAGCATCAAATACAGCCTACAATATGACAAACTGTAACTATTAATTTGCTGCCTTTAACCATATGAACTAGGTTTGTGGTTAAATATGAAAATCTAGTAGAAGTCCAAAAATTGTATGCAATAAATAAGCCCTTACTATGGCAATTTTACCCTTAGCAAGGAAGATAAGGGGTTTAGGGAAAAAGACCAGAGAAATAGAAGAGGAAGAGATTAGAAGCAAGGCTGGAGGATACTTTGGAAAACTAGTGCAGACAGGGAAAAAAAGAAAAGGAAGAAATAAAATAAGAACAGACAAAACATCATCATCAACAACAACAACAACAAAAAACTAGAAGCCATGTTCAAAAAGTCAGGAAAAAACAAAACAAAACAAGAACTAGAAAGTTGGGGGAAAAAAAAAGAAATTTGAAAAGAAAACAAAAAAGTCCCCATCCAATTCAAGGTGTGTCTGCTGCAACTGGTGGTCAGCAGGGGCAGTCAGAGTCTGGAGCTGAATTGATTACTCCCAGCAAGCCAGCTGCAGCTTCATGGTGGGTTAGTGAATAATCCCAACCAGCCTGCCCCTTTAGTGCCATTGAAATTGAGGCCAGTTTCTGGTTAAGAGACTGGAACCTGATCTTCCAGCTCAGTTTACAATAGTCCATATGCCTCCTGCTGGCCTGAACTCTGCTCCTTGACCTCCTGCTGAGTTAAACTTTCACCACCCTCGTGGAAACATGGGACGCCCCTGTATGGAGTCAGCTAACAGTTTTTCTGAGTTCCAAGCTCACTTGGCCCTCTTCAAGATGCTTTTACCAGCCAATAATTCTCTTCTTGGTGATGTCTGAACCCAGATAACTCACCAGTCACTGCAGTCCACTGCTTCCACTCCTCTGTTCCACTGCTCTATTCCACTGGTGTATTTCTCCGTGGAGAATTCTGAGGTTTCAGGACACCAAATATCAGAAAGGCTCTTTCTCTGCTGCTCACTACTTTATTTTCTTTCAAAAAATATAAAAATTTAGTGAAACGAAAAAGCAAACAAAAAGGCAGATGTGACCAACACATCTAATTCTTCAAAAGCTAATTCTTTGAAAAACTCTGTAAAATAGGTAATCTCAGCAAGAAGAAAGCCAACTGTATCTTCATGGTGGAGTAATGGATAATCGCAGCTGGTCTGCCCCTTTGGTTCCACTGAAGTTAAGGCTGATTTCTGGTTGTGAGACTTGAACCAAAGTTCGAGTTTTGTTGTTTTTTTAATCATAAAAGAAAATATTCTGTACATCTGTCAAAACACTTGGAAATTTAGATAAAATGATTATCCATAAAAACACACTGAATCTGTTTACCGAATACATTCTTCTCAGTAAGGCTGATACCTAAAATAGTTCCTTTTGTTTTTCTGAATAGTTGATGTTGAAGGCAGATTTTATGGTTCTTTTCATTTAGTCAGTGTGATCTATTTTCCTTTTTATTTTAAAATAATTAATTGTTAAATAAAGATTAATTATATTCAAGGTGAACAACAGAATAATTTCATAATTATATTTTTGTAGTGATGACCATAATTTCCAGGTCTTTCTAAGATAAGTCAACACCAAAACTTTTCTCTGAGGATGTCCTGGGCTCTCCACAACTCCAGAGGCACTGGCTGTCTCCTGTGAAGACTTTCTATTTTCTGTCATCTAGGTGGTTCCAGGAGGCCCTTTTGCTATATTGTTCAAATGCCAAGGAGCTCATAATAAGCTCCTGGAGTGGTTCTGTGAAAATATTTCACTTGGTTTGAGGTGAGGGAAGAAGCTTCTTGCCTTTTCCCTATCTAAGAAGTACATAGTACACTGACTGTCATCCTCAGGGACCTCCTTCTTCACAGCTGACTTCTCCTAAAGAATTTCCTCACTTCCACTTACAAATTATCAGGTTTCTTAACAGATTTCACAATATTCTGCTATGTCCTGTGTTTCTTGTTCTTTTAATTCTCTGTTGAAAATCGAAGACAACAGGAAGAGGGTCATTTAGTATCTTCTTACATATTAAATAACCAAAATTGACTCCAAAGTTGCAAAATTAAAAAAAATTTTATCTGGAAAAAAAGGAAAGAAATGTGAGTTGTATAAATATTGAAGAGATAATTATGTATTAAAATTTCTAAGGCATAGAATTTGCTGTGAAAGTTCCTGACTCATTCTATAGGGGTAATATATCCAGATAACAGTGCTGGACAAGAATATCAACAAGAAAATTAGAAACCAATATTATTTATGACCATAAAATGCAAAAGTGCTAATTAAAATATTAGCAAATAAAATTCATGAATATTTTCAAGACTAGTTTATTCTAGGAATGCAAAGATGGATTAAAGTTTAAAAATCTGTTGATGTAATTCAAGCATTGACTGGTAAATTCCTTGTGATACAGCTAAATAAAATGAAAAATTCTCCTTTGTATACCACTGAAAGGTAAAATACAACAGTTATATTTTTAAATACTCAACTGAGCAATTTTTTCTTATCTACGATGAAAATCAAGCTGGACTTTTGTCTGCTTAATTAGCTTGAAAACCATTCAGGGTATTAGTAAAGCAACTTGTGATTGTGTGTGGGTGGGTCATAGAGGCAGGCACTGTGTACTATGTATGTGCCCTGGCCCCCTTTTCTCTTGTGCTGTATCTCCACTTTGCTTCCAGGCCACCAGGAACTAAGGAGCTTTGCTCCACCAGTCCTTCACTATATTTCTGCTTTAGAGCCAGCCAAACATGGGATAAATTAATCCACTCATTTTTAAGATGTGGGTTTAGGGTGTTGTTTCCCAGAAATGGGAAAGCTGAATAACACATTTACCCTTTTTGGCGGGATCTGGAAGCCCCCTTAAGAATACCAAGGGGCAGGGGATTTAGCTCAGTGATACTGTGCCTGTCTAGCAAGTGCAAGGTGCTGAGTTTGATTTGTGGTACAAAAAAAAAAAAAAAAAAAAAAAAAAAAAAAAAAAAAAAAAAAAAAAAAAAAAAAAAGAAGAAGAAGAAGAAAAGAAAAGAAACAAAACAAAACAAAACAACAACAACACTGAGGGACCTGGTTTTATGTGCCTTCCTTATAGTATTTTGCCTTATACAAATTATGGGGAACTCATTTCATTCTCGCTAGACTTTCTGATTCCTATTTTCACCTTGTTTTGTCCCCGAGCATTTCCCTTATTTCATTCTTATCAAGCACTTTATGCCTGTTATGTGTGCACTTTTCCAGGCATTTGAAATCAGTTTTAACAGTAAACAAAAATCACTGCTCAAAATGTTAAAACTTCCACAAAAAATACAGAAAAGATATTTATTTTAATATGTAGAATGAATTATTTTGAAATACATTTTAAACTGACCATATCAAAATAAAATTTTTACATATAAAATATCTTGATATAAACAAAATGAAAGATTAAGTCCCCAAATTAGATGTGCGATTCACATAACACATA